AAATATTTCTAATCAAGATAATCTTTTTTCTTTTTTAATATATTTTAAATTTAAATAAATTTTTCACATTTTTTTTCTCTAATAATAGGGACATGCTGCACCTATTTTGTATGCTGCTTGGGCAGAAACAGGATTGTTTCCAATAGAAGATCTTTTGAATTTAAGAAAAATTGATTCTGATTTGGAAGGTCATCCAACACCTGTGAGTAATTAAAATATAAGGAACAAATTAAATAAACAATATTTTTCTGGAGATGAATGTTTAAAAAATGTTAATTTATTATAAAATTGATTTAATAATCCAGAACACTTAAAGCAAAAATGCATAAGAGAATACAACCTTAATTTCATAAATAAACCTTTGAATTTTTTATTTTTATTGCTTATTTTTATTGCTAGTGTCAAAGGAGATAAGTTATAATTTATAGAATAAAAGTGGATATAAAAAGAATCTTTTAACAAAAATTACATTCATGAATATAAACTAAATGGCATCTACTAATAACACTTGGATGCAGATGTGTATGCTACAAAGTTAAAAAATTTTTTGTTAGGTTAACATTATTTGCATCTATTTTAGAAAACAATATTTTATGGTATGATGGTATAATTATTAAGCATGTAGAAAATTAATTTAGTCAAGATCAGAAAAATACTAGATATTTATAAATATAGAAACAATTATATGAACTATCTTGATGTGAAACACTTCCTACACTTTGAGATTTGTACTCAAATATAGTTTTTGACTTAAAATTAAATTTCTTAAACATTTATTTTATTTCTCTTGTTTTTGTCACTAATTTTTTACACTTACTTGTTTTTTAATTTATACATTTCTTTTTTCTCACTTTAATTATTTCTTGTTGTTTATATTTATATATTGTTTTTTGTTAACAATTAGATATTTTTTTTCTTTTCATTGCTATGTGTTTGCATTCCGTGACTGTTTGTATTTTAAATAGTTCTTATTCTAGAACTTGATGATAACCATTTAAAATGTTGAAAATGTTTTGTTCTGCGTAAATAACTTTTTCTGGGCTATAAAGGTTTTAATTTTGAATTATCGATTTATTATTATCACAGATACAATACATATATTATTTTTTTTTAGAATTTCATATGCTTCTGCCTGTGGACTTATTAAAAAATTTGTAAGCAAAACTTCTTGTAGGTCTAGATAATTCAGAATACTTTCTCCATAAATTATAGCTTTAATGTTCAAAAAACAAGCTTGTAAGGAGTCAATTCCAACTTGTTCTATTTTATTTGGAGATTAGTTTTTAGTCTGTTATTTTATTTGTTTTGGGGCATTTTATTTCATTAAGGACAGACTACTGCACCTCACCTGGTAAAATTCAAAAACTAACTCACCTTACTATGACTGCTGGTGGCAACCCATAATGTCATTGAACCTAGAAATGACATCTTGGGGGACACTTCCACAGGAAGTTAAAAGAATGATCTCCTGCCCCATATTGTTGTTAAATGCACGACGAAAAATTATAAAATTAATTGTAAAGACGATGACATGAATTAAAAGTGAAGATTACTAGAATGTTAACAATTAAGTATATAAATAGGGTCAAGTGGGTGTATGTATGTAATGTCATGTGACCCTAACCGCACTATAAGAAAGTAAAATGAAGAATCAAATGAGGTGATGCTAAAGATTGAGTGAGATTGACAAAAGGCTTTCAAAGTTCCATTGACAATGTAGGAGTTCTTTATGATGGTTAGGCAAATTTGTAAGATTTCTTTGTGAATTTTTGATATATTTTCATATTTTGCTTGTCGATTTTTGTGGAGATAATTCTAAGATATAAATTAATTTGTAAGTTTCCAATTGTCGGGAAGGCTTTGTACATACTTATCTTTTGGATTTGATAAAGTATCTTTATTATACTTTGCAATTTTTTGCTAAATTTATTTCATTATTGTACATATTTGGGCTTAAACTAATAAATAGATTTTTTTGTATTACATATAGTAATTACAGTATTTCAGGTTTTTGACTTGCTAACAATTTCATTCTTATTTATTGCCCACATAAAGTCTAGGCCTGGCACTTTTGAACCCTCGTTTATGTAATGCACTGTTAGGATATTATCGGGCTTTTGATCAAATTAAATAAATAAGACGTTACAAGTTTTTTCTTTTATATAATTTTTTTCTTCTAATCAAATGATAGTCATGACAGATTAGTTATATTAATTAATCTGGTTTTACTATTTATTAATATAATTTAGGCTTGGTTTACTGTGTATAACTTTTCACCTATAAAAATTCCTTTTTAGTGGAAAACATTTTGAGTTGTTATCACAACACTTTTAAATTATAATAGGAATCTAACACTACACTTGAGAAGTCAATGATTCATATGATTGACACATCATCCCATTAACTTGGGACAATGCAAATTCCTCATGCTGCTACTTGTATATTGCTTTATTTGACCACCAAGCATATTTGGTTATATTTTAATTTCCAATACTTTCAAGAAACTTGTTATTGTCATTACTAATAAAGCATGCATCATAATGTTAACTCTCTTATGTGATTTTAATGAATTTTTTTCTCTTCCATAAAATAAAAAATGAACTTTTTAATTGAAAAATGCTTGTCCAAAGAAATTTAATATTTGGAAATCTTAATAGCATAACTACAGCAATGGTATAAACTATATTTACTTTGTAATTAAATGATCTGAGGCTCTCTAATGATGTACTGTACTTAGATTTAATTTTTTACACATTCAATCAAGTCTAAAATTATAAAAGGAAATATGTGATTAAATGATCTTACTATAACCTATATATTCAATAATTTTTATTTTATGATTCAGTTCAACAAAGATTTGTTAACATTATATCTTGTATATTTCAATTAACCATGAAAATCTATAACTTTTTTTTTTTTTTTTTCATTAGCGCCTGCCATTTGTTGATGTTGCCACTGGCTCTTTGGGCCAAGGATTGAGCTGTGCTGCTGGAATGGCTTATACAGGAAAGCATTTTGATAAATCAAAGTAAGCATTTATGTATTAACTTTGGTAGAATATTTAAAATGACTTTATTACACTATTAAAAACTATGTAACTATATCAAAGAACTAATTCAAGGGGCAACAAAATTAAGGCAACATTTAATACAGGCAACAGGTTCAACTAATCACTCATTGTAATTGTCAGTCAAAAGAGTAAATTGGTTACAGCAGTCATTGATGTTTAATGTCATCTTAATTTTGTTGTCCATGTGCATCTGCCTTTTTAGAATTTCAATAAAATAGTTAAAGGAAAAAATTATTTAACATAAAATATATGCTATCCACCTAAAATTAGTAGTGGCTTGCCCCTGTACATCATACTTTTTTTTTAACAATAGAGTCATGCCAGTCATCTATTAACTGCTTTCAAGGGAAAAGTTTTGAATTGAAATAATGTGACTTCCGGTTTGCATCTGAAAGTTTGTATATAGTTAATTCAGGTCTCCTGTCCCTAAGGTTTCCATATCTGATCTCGTCTTTCATCTTTTAAAATTGCAGCCCAAAAATGGCAAGGTGACATATCTAAATGCAACAAAAAATGATCCTTTTTGTCTACCAACATAATGAAACTAATGAAGAATTATAGATGATATAAAATTCAAATTTCTACATTTATATATATACATTTTTCTTAAAAAATATTCATTCATTGCTAAATCACCTGAAAAATTTTAATTTGCCCCAAAATGTAAATTAGAGCTTATCGCTTCTTAAAATGCAATAAACACCCATGGGTTGAGAAATACTCACCTAACTGATATTAAATAGATATAGATTGAAGTAAATCTAAATTATATTTATTCAGGAATTACATTTACATTGGGTTATTACATTTACTATGGATGAATTGATTCTATTAAATTTTGCTGGTTAAAGGTTGAGGGGATTGGGAGGTAAAGGGGGATCATATGTTGTATCTCAAGTAGTGTTGGACTTCATGACTATTTTACTCATTATTAGCATTTACAATTTGTTTTATAAAATCCATCCATACCCTCAGAATTAAGCTTTTTGCCATTTTATAATAATTAAAAATAAAGTTTTTTAATAAAATATTGTAACAGATGGTGTCACATGCAGTTTTAAATGTTGCCAGAAAAGTTAAGCACCTCATTGCTGGATTTTTTAATTTTTACTTTTGCATAATTTTTTTAGACCTAATGCTATTGCATACTTTATAAATGAGGTAGGCTTTTATGTGTACTGTACTAGAAAATGAACAAAACATTATTTCACTTTTAAGTGATTATTTGCTTTACAATGATAGTCTGAAATGTAATTTGCTGTATTAGCAAGGTATACCTGTATTCTGATGTAAAATCTTTGTTTTTCTCTCTATAAATTATTTTATCTCAATTAAAAATGTTTATAATATATTCTAAACAATAAAAAAAAATAATTGTATCATGCCAGTAAATGAAAACATTGAAGATTCTTTTGGAGAAATTTGAATGTGAAACTTTGTTAACAGACTTTAATTGATATTAAAGAACTAAGTGAAGTCTTCACAGTGAAAAAATTTCATTTTTTCATGACGATAATGACTGTCTCATCTCTGAGATACACAGACAATGAACAACAATTTTTTTTTTAAGTTTTTAATTTTAATTGTTGGCAGCCAGAGTCAGTTTATTTTAGACTCTAACAACAAAGCAGTTAATTTGAAACCTGGATTAAATGCTGTCTGGTTTAAAATTTAGCTGCTTTTCTTCCTTGTCATCACATATGATGGTAACTACCATTTTATAGAAATGGGTTTTGTAAATAAAGATGGTTCATATTAGGTTAGATGCAATTCATGTTAGTTGTAGGTATCTTTATCAAATTTATAACATTTTATACTTCATTAATCTAAATTTTATTAGTAATATTAATTGATATTTAAGTATTGATTAACACTGTACTGATATTCACAAATGTTATAAAATTCTATATAAAATATTTCAAGAAAATTTCAAAATTATACAATACATTTTAACAAATTTTTTTTATTTTTTTAACTTTTATTTATTTAAAAAAAATTACTTCAGTATTTAACATTAAAACAAATTGTTTGATTAAATTGCATCTAATGAAATTGCTTAATCCTTGCAGTCCTTTTTTTTTTTTTTTTTTTTGTGTTTTCTTGTTTAGATCCTTATCTGGTGGCCTGATATACTGCAAACCACTATTTGTCACTGTAAACTGTGACAAATAATGGTTTGCAGAACACAGCTATACAGAAAATGATAATGATGCATTGCAGCTACACTGGAAATGACATCATTTTCTGTGTACAACTTCAGTTTGGACCGAGAATGAGACAAATTGCCTTCATCTTCAATATTGCTTTCAGAAATAGCACTTGCTTCATCACTAGATGAATCACTGACATTATGTGTAATAGATGAATTTTGGTCTTTGCCTTCATCATTAAATTCATTTTCACTGCTGGAATCCTGAAAATCTTGAAGATTTTCAGGATTCCAGCAGTGAACTGGTACTTTTCTGCACTACCATATAACCCTAATATAAGCAGTTGATATGAAGTACATTGTGGAACAATCTTATAGAATATGATACATAATCACTATCTATCAGAATTTATGAAAAATAAAAGCAGTTTATTACTAGCTTAACAGATGGCAGTTAGCAAACACTGTTCAGCATTCATTAGAGAACTGCTCAACATTGGACTGGAAATGGCATTTTATATTGTTGACACTGCTTGACACAGGACTGCAAATGATTAAAAATAGAATGCTGTTATTCTATGGTTTGAATAAAATGTAAATTTTGAAATTAACGATTTAGTTTTACTTTTCATTTTAATTTCATTTCTGGAAGTTGTATATAAAACAGCAAAACTACTTATGGCAGTTTTTATTAATTTTCCTTGCTTTCAATAGAATTCTGTCAGTTTCTTGAAAATAAGGCAAAGAAATATATATTATTTAGTTCTTTTGACAATTTTAGTTGGATAATGTTTTTAAGTTTGCTTTTTATAAATCATTTAATTGTTGTTATATATAAAATTTTAAATTTACCTACAATAAAATTATAAAATTTTTAAAAATGTGCTTTTAATGTAATCTAAATTTATAGTTATCGGGTTTATTGTGTAATTGGAGATGGTGAATCTGCTGAAGGATCCATTTGGGAAGCCCTTGCTTTTGCTGGACATTATAAACTTGATAATCTAGTTGCTATCTTTGATATTAATCGTCTTGGCCAAAGTGAGCCAACTGCTTTGCAGCATCAAATGGATGTGTATAAAGCTCGTTTAGAAGCATTTAAGTAAGTATATTTTTAATAATTATCAGCTAACACTATACTATAAGAGTACATCAATTAAAATTTAACTTGTAGAGAAAGGAAAAGATTTGTTGACTGTACATTTTAAAATTGAGAAATTTACAAATCTTTCACCCTTATTTAAACTTTCTAAACTATTCAGCTCAAGTCAGAAATTATACCAGTTAAACTAATTTAGAATATTAATATTATGCTCCCAAACAACAATAGTGACATTTCCAGTTACGAGATATTTGACAAATCATTATATTCTAAATTTGTACTGAAATAATTCTAATGTGAATTTTACTGCAAAAGTTTATAGTTAATATTTACAGTAGTTTATCTTCATAAATCAAATTTAAATTTGATTTTTTTTTTTAATTGAGAATATTTTGTATCACTAATTTCTTTGACAAAAATAATTTTATAATAAACAAATAGTTAAGAAACACAATACTGCTAATAAAATTCAAGGAATGGCACACTTATGATTGTTTTTAGGACAATTTGTTTCATAGATCAATGAAGAATCAACCTGATGATGATGTTTTTCAGGATGTAAATCATGCTAAAAAAATATTTATGAAATGAAAATAATCATGATGAATGTGTGACTAATGGAACTTTATTACCTCGTAGCAGTATTGTTTAAGTTTGTTACTTTGCACTTGATGATAAATTTTTTAAAGCAATAATTCATTGAAAAGTAATTATTGTTGTTATGGAACAAATTATGTTGAATATAGAAAACTACATATTTAATATAAACAATATTAAAATATATTATTTCTGTTCTGGAATCAGTTTCACTAAAACTGAAATCTAATCTCTCTAATAATAATGTTTAACAAATACAAAAAAGTTTTAGGACTGTGATTGTTTTTGGACAAAAAAAGATAAGTTTTTGTTACATAAAATTAAAAAATAATTGTCTGACTAATACTGTTTACTTTGTATATTTATTTACATTTTATTTATTATTGTGTGTGAACATATGAATATAATAGCTGAAATTGATAATCACATTATAATAAATTGAACCATCTTCAATTATTATCACATTTATAAACTTTTAGATACTTTCAATCTAAAATGGTATTTGGAAATTCTTAAATTTAAATTTACTCTTGATTTTTATAAAAATAAAGTTTGAAGAAATTTTAACAATTTAAATTAATTTTATTATAAGGAGGACTTCGGTAAATAATTAAATGGAAACTGTAATTTGAATTTATTTAAATTGATCTACTTTACATTGAACTTAATTTTTATTGTATTTAAATTTTCATAGTTTTAATACAGTTGTTGTGGATGGACATGATATCAGTGCACTTTGTTCAGTTTTTGATGCTGCTGCTAAAGTAAAAGGAAAACCAACTGCTGTTATTGCAAAGACTTATAAAGGACATGGTCTTCCAGGTAAGGTTGTTTTTTTACATATAAAATCAAGAGTAAATTAGTATCTTTTTAAAAATTAAGTGCAATATCATGTGTGTCATAGTTATGGAATTTTGAGAAAAGCTCATAAAAATTTGAAAATCTCTCTACTCTTGTCCAGATAAGATTGTGGTGAGCACGTGGACAAATAATACAATGAAAGTTGTCTACAATAAAAGTTTTTATTGTCGGCTCGTGCAGTTTTACATATACAAAGTTCTTTCGGATCCCAACTCCAATATATATGATTTTCATAACATATACTTCTATTGGTACAAGGGAGTGACACGGTTTTTTTGTGACAGTGCAATATTTTTCTTAACCTATCTTAGCCTAACTTATATACTAATGAAGAAATATAGAAGGAAAGAGTTAAAATTAAGATTTTAGATTAATAAGAACAAGACAAAGTTGCTGGTGGGGTACCCGTACTTCCTTCCTTCCTTTATACTTCACTAGTATCCAGGTAAAGACTTTTGCTGATTTTCCTTCCTTTTGTCTCTTCCATTATTTCTCTCTCTCAACATTCTCAGATCATTCAGTTTCTCTCTGGTTTTGACGACCAGGACTTCCTTCTCTACATGTCTGTCTCTTTCGAACGCTAGCTTCAGAATGTCCCTCTTTTTCTCTCTGACTTGCCTCAGGGTCTCTTCCACACCCTTGTTTTCCATTGTATTTCTCAGAAACGTTTTTACCACCAGCAGGGAGGAAAGACCGTTAGAAAGTTCGAGAAAGTTCATACACAAAAGACTTAGGAAACTTAATATTAAGTTTAATACTAAAGACAAAATATATATACATTTGGTGGATCACCACAAGATAAAGGATTGGGAAATCTGCAATCGTGCAAATAAGGATCATAATCTCAAAAAATTTTACCAACATACAGTATCACCTCTGAATGGCAAACACCATCAGGACTGAGAAGTTTGTCTGCTATTTAGAGGTGTCTATTATTATGAGGTACATGCTGGTAGTTATACTATATTTAATGCAGTCATCATATAGTGAAGAATACAATGGATTACAAAAACATCAAATTTGCATTAGGAATGAGGATATGCTAAAAAGTTATAAGTAGGATGTATAATTAAAATATATAAAGTATATTATTTATCTTTGCAGCTGTAAAAATCGCATTCTAATTGAATTTTAAATAGTAAATAGATTTGACAGGATAATTTAAATGGAACATAAAAATTATGGCAAAATGAAAATGTTTGTTTACTTATTAATTCATCAAAAACAACATGGGCAGAAGTAACAAAAAGAAACTGAAACTTGTTATGAACAGAAGGGTGGATGAAGATCAGTTTAGGCAATGAGAGTTTGAATGTCGCATTATGAAGGCAATTTTCTAGCCACTTCGAGCGAGTGGGAAATGTATTTGGTATTCTTGCATACTTAGATCATTTAGATTCATCACTTAGATTCACTTAGATCATCTAAGTGACTAATAAAAATTGATATTTTGATTTATCTGCTTTGTAGTTATCAAGTAGGTGTAATTTTTCAAACATTTTTGCTTTTTTCAATAAATGATTTATTAAAAATTACACCTAGGCCACCAAAAAGCTGTTAAGATCATGAATGCCATCATAAATGCAAGAATACTGAATATTTTCCCACATCAATAACACTACACCTTACACACTTTTCCAGCACTAGTTTAATGAAAACAAATGTTTTTAACCAGAAGCAGACCTCTGAATAGGGTTGAAAAGTGTATAAGGTGTAGTTGATTAGTGCAGGGATGGCGAACCTTTTTGTGTTTGCGTGCCATATTGTAAGCATACTTACCTTTAAAGATGTTTATGCATGCCAAAGTTTCAGACTTCGAATAACGATATTTAAAAATTTAAATAATACGCTTTAATTAGAATAAATGTAAAAAAGCTGATTGAAAAAAGGATGATCAGGTGATAAACCGAAAACATGATTGAAAAAGACAGAAATCATATGGTACATTACATGCCAGATGATTTCTCCTTATGTGCCACTTTGGGCATGCGTGCCATAGGTTTGCCACCTCTGGATTAGTGTATTTGTTTCTAGTTTTTCTACAAGTGCTATCTTCCCACACCTTAAAAGTGACCTTTGTAACACAATCTTTGAACTTTCACCACAAATGCTGCTGTTGTAACTGTTTTAAGTTGTTTTCATTACTACTGTACTACAGTTCTTGTTGAATGATTGAATTACTCAGGAAAAGTTTGATTTCTTGGTACCATAAGCTTAATTCTAACAACACAGAAGTTTAATAAAGTTAATTTGTATTATGATAAATGATAATTGGCAACAACAGATTAATCTCTAACAAATAAAGTCTTGTTTGGCTTTTTATAGCCTGTCTTTCTTCCCTATTCATATTTTCAGCAAGTCCTTATTTGACACCTACAGTCAAAATTTGTTATCTGAAATTTAAACTGATTCTTTATTTTCATTTTAAAATATTTTGTATATAATTAATTGTTTCAGAATCTTAAATGCAGGACATTGTACTTTGTAAGTTTGGTTATGGGCAACAGTATCTGCTATTTAGAGATATAAATATATTAAATATTTTATTTGAATGGTCTGGAGATTGTAAAAATGTCCATTAACTAGAAGTGTCCGTTAATGGAGGTTTCACTGTATATTAAAAATTTTTAAATTAGCATAGGAAAGAGCTAAAAGAAGCTAGCAAAATAGTAATAAATCATATTCTTTAGATAGCTTTGAGTTTATATAAATTTAGTAAAGACAAATATGCTAAGTTTACCACAAGACTGATTGGTCCAAAATAATGCTTGTCTTGTCAAACATTTTTTTTTTATATTAATTCTTTACTTCTATGTCCTTAATCTTGTCAATTTCTGTTTGTATCCTTGTCTACTTTGGATCTTGTTTATTAATAGGACTTATTACTGGTGTAGTTTCCAATTAGCAAATATAGGATATATTAGTCAAAAAGTCAAAACAAAATATCTTTATTTTCACCTGTATATCCTGGTTTTGTTTTTCAGACCTAAAGGTTCCTCTTCTGCAGGTTTACAATAATGTTCTATAATGAATTTTTCTAAAAACTTTTTTAAAAAAGCAATATTGTACCTGACAATAAAATGTACAAAATTACTTACTATTATTAATACACCAATATAGATGTAAGGTATTCATAAAAGAGTTCTTAACATAATGTTTTTTTATATATATAAATACACCTGTATAAAAGGATAATATGTTTAATATTTAAAAGTTTAAATTAATCATTTTTTCAGATATTAAATTTATTTTATTACATAATAGTTTCTTTACTCTTTCAAACAATTTAGGAATATAATATAATTTCACACATTTTTTTTATCAGTATGAAATTATTTATATTTATAGGTACATTTGCTAATCAGAAACTACATCAGTGTAATAAGTCCTATTAATGAACAATGTCCAAAGTAGATAGAGATACAAACAAAAATTCAAAAATTGATTTTTTTTTATAAATTGCCATTTGGTCTAATTAGTCCTTACAGGAAACTCAGTAAATTAAGTATCATAACACTGTTCCAGGATTGACAATTTAAAAAAAAATGAATGTTTAAAAGCTTTTACTTAGTACTTTTCTAAAGATAAAAATCTGCAAAATTATAACAGAAAATTAGTGATTGTAAGCAATTTAAATATATGAAGGCCATCTGAAAATTTCCAGATATGCAAAAACCATTGAACACAGAAAAAAATGGTCTGTGATATTTTACTGCTAAACATTTTCTGAGCATAAGTACCTGCATCCTTAAAATTTCTCACACATAGGAAGCACCTCACCTTGTAAGCATCACCAAATCTGGATGTTGAAAATAGAGCTGAAGAGAATTTCCAAGTAATGATGTTTTATGACTTTAAATCTTGGTTTGTTGGAGTCCCAGTGCCTCCATTGTTTGCAAGCACCATTTCTTGATTCTTGTCCATCCAGAACACAAGTATTCTGGTGGTTTAGACAAGTTAGACATGTCAAAAACAGCCTTAAAGATGAAGAGAGAAGTGGTCAACCTGTAACTGCAGTGACTCCAGAAAATGTAGTTCATGTTGAGAAACTGCTTAGAGAAGACCCCCCCATATAACCCAAAAGTATATCAAGCACACCTTGTATATTGGATCACTGGCAGTGAATGATATCTTGCACAATCATCTTCATGTTGGAAAGATCATGTCATGGTGTGTGCCTCATTCTCTGACTGAACAGCAAAAAGAAACTTGTGTTGGATGATGCCACTATATGCTGGAAAAACTTCAACAGGGAAGCTCAAAATGTGTGTGGGACATTGTCACTGGTGATGAGACCTGGATCTACCAGTACAACTCCAGAAGCAAGAGACAGTCTGTAGATTGGCTCTTCTCTGAAGAAGCACCACCTGTCAAAGGCAAATGTTTAAGAAGTGTCGATCAGAAAATGGTAATGACATTTTTTGGAAGACAGGATTATGTTGCCACCATAGTCCTTGAGGGGTAGGAAGATAGTTAATACTGAGTGATATGTCACCATTTGTCTCCTTCAAGTCTTTCAAGAAATCCCAAATGGCAGTCTAAAACAAGGCTTCATGGACTCTTGCTGCACCATGACAATGCAATGGTACATACACCATGAGAATGGTGGACTACTTGAGCAACTCTGGAGTGTGGTTGGTCACCCATCCACCTTATAGACCAGATTTAGCACCTTGTGACTTTTCTGTTTCCCAAAGCCAAGGAAGTCCTCAGGGGATGTCATTTTGGGAGTCCAGAAGAAGCAGTTGCTGTGTGCAGAGATATCTTAGCAGACTTCTCAGAAGAAAATTGGTGTTAGTGTTTCCAGAGCTGTTCTCCTGCATGCAATGGTTTATTGCACATCAGGGAGAGTACTTTGAGAAGATATGAAGACAGACAGAAAGTAACAATAAATAGGGTCATTGTATCTGGAAACTTTCAGAGTGGTCCTTGTATTATTAGGGCTCCTCTTTATTAATTATTCAGAAATGAATTATTATTATTATTGATCTGATTTGCTTTGTTACAGGAATTGAAGATCAAGAAAATTGGCATGGAAAACCAATTGGAGATAAAGCTGATGGTCAAATTAATGGGCTTCTCAAATTAATAACAAATAATGGAAGACCTAAAATTGGTCCTAAACCTCCAAGTGATGATGCTTCAGTTACTGATAATTCAATAATTACACTTTCAAGTCCTCCAAGTTATACTATTGGAGAAAAGGTTTGTTTTTGAAATTAATTTAAGAAGAATTTTTAAAATTTGAATTTAAATATTAATAAATATTTTAATATAGGTTGCAACACGTCTTGCTTATGGAACTGCTATTGCCAAATTAGGAAACAGTAGCAGTAAAGTGATTGCTATGGATGGCGATACTAAGAATTCAACATTTTCGGATAAATTTAAGAAAGCACATCCAGAAAGATTCATTGAATGTTACATTGCAGAACAAAACATGGTTGGAATTGGTATTGGATGTTCTACAAGAAATAGAACGATTCCATTTATTAGTACTTTTGCAGCATTTTTTACACGTGCTTTTGATCAGTTAAGAATGGGTTCTATATCTCAAGCTAATATTAAATGTGCTGGATCTCATGCTGGAATATCTATTGGTAATTATTGTATTTGTTAATTTATATTAAGTTTATTTTAATAGAATATTGATATTTTACAGTATAATTTGAGGATTTAAAAACTTGTACTAATTTTACTTGAACATGTCATCTAGTTGTCATCTTTTTGACCTGAAGAAAAGATCTTCAGGTCATATGATCTTTTTGGCCTATAATGGTATGGCATGTAATGTCTGTTGATATGTTTGTATTTATATCTAAATATAGGCCAATAATCAACAGTGTATGGTTTAATGCTATCTGGGGATATGTAGCAGTCCAAATGTCAGCTTACAAAATTTAGTTGTTTTAGGACATGCAGAAGAGATTTCTACAGAAAAAAAATTTAAAAATTTTTGTGATGAAAAGCTAACAAAATAAGCTTTTTTATATTACAAATTTCATAAATAATTTTGTTATAATTTATTGCCTTACACTTTGCATGAGACAGTTTAGAACTTTATGGAAATAAATTTTATTTATCTTAAATAATATATTATCATCTTAAAGAGTATTAATTTTCAATAAAAGAATGTTTCAATAAGCAATGTTTTTGATTAAGAAATGTTTTNAATTAGAATAAATGTAAAAAAGCTGATTGAAAAAAGGATGATCAGGTGATAAACCGAAAACATGATTGAAAAAGACAGAAATCATATGGTACATTACATGCCAGATGATTTCTCCTTATGTGCCACTTTGGGCATGCGTGCCATAGGTTTGCCACCTCTGGATTAGTGTATTTGTTTCTAGTTTTTCTACAAGTGCTATCTTCCCACACCTTAAAAGTGACCTTTGTAACACAATCTTTGAACTTTCACCACAAATGCTGCTGTTGTAACTGTTTTAAGTTGTTTTCATTACTACTGTACTACAGTTCTTGTTGAATGATTGAATTACTCAGGAAAAGTTTGATTTCTTGGTACCATAAGCTTAATTCTAACAACACAGAAGTTTAATAAAGTTAATTTGTATTATGATAAATGATAATTGGCAACAACAGATTAATCTCTAACAAATAAAGTCTTGTTTGGCTTTTTATAGCCTGTCTTTCTTCCCTATTCATATTTTCAGCAAGTCCTTATTTGACACCTACAGTCAAAATTTGTTATCTGAAATTTAAACTGATTCTTTATTTTCATTTTAAAATATTTTGTATATAATTAATTGTTTCAGAATCTTAAATGCAGGACATTGTACTTTGTAAGTTTGGTTATGGGCAACAGTATCTGCTATTTAGAGATATAAATATATTAAATATTTTATTTGAATGGTCTGGAGATTGTAAAAATGTCCATTAACTAGAAGTGTCCGTTAATGGAGGTTTCACTGTATATTAAAAATTTTTAAATTAGCATAGGAAAGAGCTAAAAGAAGCTAGCAAAATAGTAATAAATCATATTCTTTAGATAGCTTTGAGTTTATATAAATTTAGTAAAGACAAATATGCTAAGTTTACCACAAGACTGATTGGTCCAAAATAATGCTTGTCTTGTCAAACATTTTTTTTTTATATTAATTCTTTACTTCTATGTCCTTAATCTTGTCAATTTCTGTTTGTATCCTTGTCTACTTTGGATCTTGTTTATTAATAGGACTTATTACTGGTGTAGTTTCCAATTAGCAAATATAGGATATATTAGTCAAAAAGTCAAAACAAAATATCTTTATTTTCACCTGTATATCCTGGTTTTGTTTTTCAGACCTAAAGGTTCCTCTTCTGCAGGTTTACAATAATGTTCTATAATGAATTTTTCTAAAAACTTTTTTAAAAAAGCAATATTGTACCTGACAATAAAATGTACAAAATTACTTACTATTATTAATACACCAATATAGATGTAAGGTATTCATAAAAGAGTTCTTAACATAATGTTTTTTTATATATATAAATACACCTGTATAAAAGGATAATATGTTTAATATTTAAAAGTTTAAATTAATCATTTTTTCAGATATTAAATTTATTTTATTACATAATAGTTTCTTTACTCTTTCAAACAATTTAGGAATATAATATAATTTCACACATTTTTTTTATCAGTATGAAATTATTTATATTTATAGGTACATTTGCTAATCAGAAACTACATCAGTGTAATAAGTCCTATTAATGAACAATGTCCAAAGTAGATAGAGATACAAACAAAAATTCAAAAATTGATTTTTTTTTATAAATTGCCATTTGGTCTAATTAGTCCTTACAGGAAACTCAGTAAATTAAGTATCATAACACTGTTCCAGGATTGACAATTTAAAAAAAAATGAATGTTTAAAAGCTTTTACTTAGTACTTTTCTAAAGATAAAAATCTGCAAAATTATAACAGAAAATTAGTGATTGTAAGCAATTTAAATATATGAAGGCCATCTGAAAATTTCCAGATATGCAAAAACCATTGAACACAGAAAAAAATGGTCTGTGATATTTTACTGCTAAACATTTTCTGAGCATAAGTACCTGCATCCTTAAAATTTCTCACACATAGGAAGCACCTCACCTTGTAAGCATCACCAAATCTGGATGTTGAAAATAGAGCTGAAGAGAATTTCCAAGTAATGATGTTTTATGACTTTAAATCTTGGTTTGTTGGAGTCCCAGTGCCTCCATTGTTTGCAAGCACCATTTCTTGATTCTTGTCCATCCAGAACACAAGTATTCTGGTGGTTTAGACAAGTTAGACATGTCAAAAACAGCCTTAAAGATGAAGAGAGAAGTGGTCAACCTGTAACTGCAGTGACTCCAGAAAATGTAGTTCATGTTGAGAAACTGCTTAGAGAAGACCCCCCCATATAACCCAAAAGTATATCAAGCACACCTTGTATATTGGATCACTGGCAGTGAATGATATCTTGCACAATCATCTTCATGTTGGAAAGATCATGTCATGGTGTGTGCCTCATTCTCTGACTGAACAGCAAAAAGAAACTTGTGTTGGATGATGCCACTATATGCTGGAAAAACTTCAACAGGGAAGCTCAAAATGTGTGTGGGACATTGTCACTGGTGATGAGACCTGGATCTACCAGTACAACTCCAGAAGCAAGAGACAGTCTGTAGATTGGCTCTTCTCTGAAGAAGCACCACCTGTCAAAGGCAAATGTTTAAGAAGTGTCGATCAGAAAATGGTAATGACATTTTTTGGAAGACAGGATTATGTTGCCACCATAGTCCTTGAGGGATAGGAAGATAGTTAATACTGAGTGATATGTCACCATTTGTCTCCTTCAAGTCTTTCAAGAAATCCCAAATGGCAGTCTAAAACAAGGCTTCATGGACTCTTGCTGCACCATGACAATGCAATGGTACATACACCATGAGAATGGTGGACTACTTGAGCAACTCTGGAGTGTGGTTGGTCACCCATCCACCTTATAGACCAGATTTAGCACCTTGTGACTTTTCTGTTTCCCAAAGCCAAGGAAGTCCTCAGGGGATGTCATTTTGGGAGTCCAGAAGAAGCAGTTGCTGTGTGCAGAGATATCTTAGCAGACTTCTCAGAAGAAAATTGGTGTTAGTGTTTCCAGAGCTGTTCTCCTGCATGCAATGGTTTATTGCACATCAGGGAGAGTACTTTGAGAAGATATGAAGACAGACAGAAAGTAACAATAAATAGGGTCATTGTATCTGGAAACTTTCAGAGTGGTCCTTGTATTATTAGGGCTCCTCTTTATTAATTATTCAGAAATGAATTATTATTATTATTGATCTGATTTGCTTTGTTACAGGAATTGAAGATCAAGAAAATTGGCATGGAAAACCAATTGGAGATAAAGCTGATGGTCAAATTAATGGGCTTCTCAAATTAATAACAAATAATGGAAGACCTAAAATTGGTCCTAAACCTCCAAGTGATGATGCTTCAGTTACTGATAATTCAATAATTACACTTTCAAGTCCTCCAAGTTATACTATTGGAGAAAAGGTTTGTTTTTGAAATTAATTTAAGAAGAATTTTTAAAATTTGAATTTAAATATTAATAAATATTTTAATATAGGTTGCAACACGTCTTGCTTATGGAACTGCTATTGCCAAATTAGGAAACAGTAGCAGTAAAGTGATTGCTATGGATGGCGATACTAAGAATTCAACATTTTCGGATAAATTTAAGAAAGCACATCCAGAAAGATTCATTGAATGTTACATTGCAGAACAAAACATGGTTGGAATTGGTATTGGATGTTCTACAAGAAATAGAACGATTCCATTTATTAGTACTTTTGCAGCATTTTTTACACGTGCTTTTGATCAGTTAAGAATGGGTTCTATATCTCAAGCTAATATTAAATGTGCTGGATCTCATGCTGGAATATCTATTGGTAATTATTGTATTTGTTAATTTATATTAAGTTTATTTTAATAGAATATTGATATTTTACAGTATAATTTGAGGATTTAAAAACTTGTACTAATTTTACTTGAACATGTCATCTAGTTGTCATCTTTTTGACCTGAAGAAAAGATCTTCAGGTCATATGATCTTTTTGGCCTATAATGGTATGGCATGTAATGTCTGTTGATATGTTTGTATTTATATCTAAATATAGGCCAATAATCAACAGTGTATGGTTTAATGCTATCTGGGGATATGTAGCAGTCCAAATGTCAGCTTACAAAATTTAGTTGTTTTAGGACATGCAGAAGAGATTTCTACAGAAAAAAAATTTAAAAATTTTTGTGATGAAAAGCTAATAAATGAGCTTTTTTATATTACAAATTTCATAAATAATTTTGTTATAATTTATTGCCTTACACTTTGCATGAGACAGTTTAGAACTTTATGGAAATAAATTTTATTTATCTTAAATAATATATTATCATCTTAAAGAGTATTAATTTTCAATAAAAGAATGTTTCAATAAGCAATGTTTTTGATTAAGAAATGTTTTCATTATATGACAAAAGTAATGCAATGAGAATTAATATGGATAAAATTTTTATATGTACTATTTTGGAAAAGATTGTAATTAATTTTGTCAAAATAATTTTTCAGTATATTGCTTTGTTAAATTTTAGGTGAAGATGGACCTTCACAGATGGCACTGGAGGATTTAGCAATGTTTCGCTCCTTACCAACAAGTACTGTATTCTATCCATGTGATGCAGTTTCTACTGAACGAGCTTGTGAGCTTGCTGCTAATACTCGTGGAATATGTTTTATTCGAACCTCACGTCCTGCTACTGCTGTATTATATAATAATGATGAAAATTTCCAAGTAGGAGAAGCTAAGGTATTTGTTTTATTGGCATGTGGAAACAACTTTTGAATTTTTCATTGTATACATTATTCAGAAAAGAAATAAATAAATAAATATATATATATATATATATATACATACATACACATACATACAAGATATGTGACAATTTAATGGCTGCATAGTGTCGCCTGTGACATAATTGTATCGAAATGACATGTGCATTCATGTGTGAACTAATAAGTGTGTAAATTTCAAGCTGATAGAGCTAGTTAATTAGCTATTGGGAAGGTAATAGTTATCTGCATATACTCTTTGGCATAAAGATGGATGACTGAAATTTAGAGCAACATATTAATATTAAATTTTGTATGAAAAATCTGTAGATGCACTACTGAAATGTTAGTGTGAGTACTGCAGAGATTATATGATTCCATTTGAAGAAAAAGTGTGATTTGACAAGTGCATTCATCATGCCAAGTCACAGCGCATCTGTGCGATACATTCTGGCCAAAAAAGCAATTATCCAATTAGATCATCCTGCCTATTCATCTGACTTAGCTTCCTGTGATTTCTGGCTATTTCCAAAATTAAAAGCTGTGCTGAAAGGACAAAGATTTTCTAATATAACTGATATCCAACAGAATGTGAGACAACTGCTCAACAGTATTCCATAAAATGAGTTCCAGGCTTGCTTCAGAAATGGGAACACCATTTAAGTCAGTGTATAGATGCACAAGGAGTTCTTTGAAAATGACAATAGTCACTAATCTACAGTTCCACATATATATAGTTTTTAAAGGTGCATTTCAGGAATTAAATTTTCATATCTTGTATATAATACTTATTTACTTACAGTCCAGAAAAATTTTTTTACAAATAAATGTGTGTTTATATTTATCTATTTCAATAATTGTGTTGTTGCATGTTAAAAATTTTCAAATTATATATTCATTTTATAATTTTAGATTGTAAGAAAATCAAATAACGATCAAGTTTTAGTTATTGGTGCTGGTGTTACTTTGCATGAAGCATTGAAAGCTGCCGATGAACTTTCTCAAGAAGGTATTAATATTCGTGTAATGGATCCATTCACATTGAAACCAATTGATGAAGCAGCTATTATTAAAAATGCTACTGAAGTTGGTGGAAGAATTGTTACAGTAGAAGATCATTATCCTGAAGGTATTTAGCAAAATCTTTACTACTGGTTTATTCTTAAAAATAAAAATAAAATGCTTGCTTATATATATATATAATTATTTTTTGATCTAAAAAAAATATAAACATAAATGATTTTTCTATTTCAAAAATATTTGTAAATAAAGTTTTCAAACAATTACCAGAATTTCAAAAATAATATGACAATTTTCATGGAATTTTTACAATAAAAAAATACTAGAAGCATTTGAAATAAACATGTATTGGAGTTTTAAACATAAAATGTGATGATAAGGGCAAAATAATATAGGAATAAAATCAAAATAATTAACTAATGCAAAACAAAAATGCTATATTTACACCTTGTCCTATATAGGACAAGATGTGATTTCAAGATCAAAATAAATAAAATTAGATATATTAATACAGTTCTGATTTTATTTCATTTAATCACAAATCAAATATCAAATGCACATAAATGCACACATCATCTCACAAAAATTACTTTTAAACTTTAAGGAAAAATCTTGTAAAATCAAGAACATAATTAGTTCATATAAAACTGGACAATCTGAACTTTTTTTTTTTTTTTTTTTTTTTTTTTTTTTTTTTTTTTTTTTTTTTTTTTTTTTTTTTTTTNTTGTTCTTTTTTTTTTTTTTTTTTTTTGGTCAATTCTTAAAGTCAAATCCATTTTCTGTCGATTACACTTAAGAGTTTCTCCGAATTCTGATTTCCATATAATCATCTGTTTTCACGTGGGAATGGATTAAAACTTATATCAGGTTCCTGTGTGATTTTGGAATTTCAATCTTGAATTCAAAAGCTTTGCTCTTCCTGTTGCTATTCATCATTATTCCTGACAATAAACAAGAACAATTCAAATGACCCAGATAAAATACTTTTGTTTTTAAACTCCAGAGGATGAACATCTGGTAAAAAATGTGATACACGGTTTACAAAAATTATTGCAAAAATGCAAAGAATCTTTTGCTTGCATGTATAGGACGACCTAGGTTTTGGAAGCAGTGAAAAATGAATAAAAACCTCGTCCTATATGCGAGTAGATATGGTAATTGATTATCTATAAACAATTATCTGAAATTATTTTTTGAAAATTTAGTTTGATAAACTGTAACTTTTTTTCAATTGAAGAATCAAAGTATTTCATAAAATAAATTTTTGCATCTTATGTTTTAAAATATTTTTGATTTTTCACTTTTGAAAATTCTAAAAAGTACTTTAATATTGTATATATTTTATTCATTATTGAACATTTTGAGATTTCAGTTAGAATATACTAAATTCAAATACAAATTTTTAAATTATTTAAATTTTAAATTTTTTTTTTATATATTTACAGGTGGTTTGGGTGAAGCTGTTGCATCAGCTGTTTCAATGCAGAGGAATATTATTGTAAAACGATTAGCAGTTAGAAAGCTTCCTCGTAGCGGTCCACCTAATGTGCTCTTAGACATGTTTGGCATCAGCAGCAATTCTATTAAAGAGGGTGTTAAAGAAATTTTGAACCAATAAATTTGCATTTATACAGCATCTGTTTTTTGCACTAGGTATATTTATTAAAATATTTTTAAGTTTAGAAATTATATAATAATTTTCTATTGAAATTAAAGTAGGATGATTTAAAATAATCTTAAATATCATTTTTTTTCCCCTCTTCTTAATCTTTAAATATTTCATTATTAATAAAAATTGCTTGAAGGTTGAAAAGTAAATAACACATTTTAAAGTTGTTCATTTGTAATTTAATAATAATTCTGATATTTTTTTTAACTTTTAAGCAATTTAAATTCTAAATTTAAAAATTTAAATTGCTTGACATTTTAAAAAATTTTATTTTTACTGTTACAGTATTATTTTTCTTCAAATTTGTATTCTTATTTCTTTGAAGAAAAATTAATAAAGATTTTGATCTGAAATATATTTTTTGGATATTTGTTAGACAACTGTGTTTTTTGATCATTAATGCTTAACTTTTTCAACATATGTAAATATTATATAAGAATCACAGAACATTAATAAAAAATATATTATATTTATAAATATTTTTCTTATGAAAAACACAAAATTACAGTTTAAATAATTTGAAACATATACATTAAAAGGATTAAATGTTTTATTTGATATTTCAATTTTCTTTTACATAATTATTACAAAATACAGTAGATTCTTCTTATTGTCAATTTATTGTACCATGTGTAAGTGTTGTTGTTAACCTCAGACTCACTCATTTCTATTATATATTGACTAAATTAACCTGTGACATTTTGGTTTAATGCCCACTTTTAATTTACCAAATTGTACGTGCAGTTTTTGACCAGGACCAGATGACATAAGTGACAGTAAGCACAGGACAGCTATCGGTTTTTTTAATTTTTATAATAAAAAACCTAATAATTGTAATGTCAATGTTGTTAGGTAAGTGCATTCTGAGAAAAAAATAAGAATTTATGAGGAATTGAGTCTAACATTACAGTATTTTATTTTCTGAGGTTGTTATATTTTGTTTGTTTTCTTTTTATTTTAGGAAAATTTTTTCTTAAGGGCAAAAAATTTACACCTTCCATTTAAAATTATATTAAAATAATGACTGACCTGGAATTTGTTTAAATTTACAGCACCATTTTGGTGAAACTAATTTAGCACTTAGAATATTCATTATATTAGGTTCTTTGTGTATTCTGGTTAAGACTAATTTTTATTCTAAATAGTTGAATGTATTATTTTAATTGTGACTTTGTTAACTTTTCATTTCAGATTGGTGTATAAAGATTCTTCTGTTCCTATTGCTAAAATGTTTATTGTGTCCATAAAATATTTGTAGGGATCAAAACTTTGTTAAATTTGACAAAACAACAAAACATTTGACATTCCTGAATTATGGAAATGGTTATAAAATGCTTTTAAACAAAGATTGTAAAAATCATTTGTTGCTAAATAAAATATTTTGCATTGAAATTGTTGTTTTATAATCAGTTTTAAAAAAACTTTCTTCTATCAATTGTATTTATTAAAAACTACTATGAATTTAAAAAAATCCCTAAAGATCCTTAAATAGAACATTTGTGTTTATTAAACTTCAAAGAATATATTTTTTTTCTATAATATATAATCAATCACATTCAAACACAGTTAAAGAATAAGAAATCTACATGTAATAATAAACATTACTATTGTGTAGTTCCATTATCAGTTAGCTATTGAAAAAATAAGTACAGTAGAATAATACTAATCTGGTACTTTGCACTCTGGCATGTTGTTCGTGTTATGAAATAGAATTCCTGCTGAAACAGCAATACTTTTGCAAAGATTACGAGAGAAAGTAGTTAAGGCTAGGATAGGTGCAAAAGAGACTCACTCACTGAAAATTGTTCTTAAGCAATAACTTTTTTGATAAATACATAATAGTGTACAAAAGTACAATCTAACATTACAATACTATATGTATTTTTTTTCTGTGACTGATTATTATTATATTAAAAGGTTTAATAATGCATGTTATAGCAACTTGTATATGTTACATGTTTTATAAACCTATCCAGCCACTGGCAAATCCAGTAATCCAACATTGGCTGTTTTTAATGGTGCCAGATTAGTGTTTCTACTGTATTATAAACAAAGCATTTGTTTTTGATAAGTGGTTGATTAATAATACAACCATCATACAACCAGATAGGCTATGTTGTTAAGGCATACACCTACTGGCTCTGGGAAATCCTGGATGGTAATACAACCAGGAATTTTCAGGAAGCTGGTCAATTCCGGATATGTCATGCCACCCCATTGCGAATTTGGCTGAACACAATGCCCATGGTGTGAAGAGTAAGGAAAAATAAATGTTTAGTAAATTATTTAAATCTTATATTAATATTACTGATTAACAACATATATGTTGATCAGTTATGTTAATAACTGATTAACATCTTATATTAAATTACTGTATAACAACTATAGTTGTTATATGGTAATTTAATGCAATAGTAATTAATAGTAATTTTAATAGTAAGTTTTCAAATTTAAAAAAATCTTCATTACCAAAAATTATTTCATATGTAAATTTGAAGTCATTCACTTTGTGATCTATTTTCCAACTCCTATTTAAATCTAGATCCAAAGCTGCTAAATTGGGACTTGATGAGATGACTGAATAAAAGTATAACTATTAACAGCTGGTGAGTAGTCTTGTGGATAAAACTACTAAATAATCTTGGGTTTGTGCCTCGCCAACAGACTGGCCATGTAGAGTTTACCAGGTTTCGTTTACATTTGTAACCTAAACAGTCCAGTTTCCCATAGTCCTGGGAGACATTACAGTACCTCTCAGCAGATCACCCATGTGTTTGTTATTGCCATAAACTAAACCAAAATTAACAGCTGGTAAAACTATGATGATGATGATTTGATGTTTATCAATGATTCTGGATGATTAACAGTTTTGCAAATTTTATCAGATGAATCTAGGTATATTGATAGAATCTTATATTGGAAAACTTTTATTTATATCAAATTAAATACTGTGTCAATAACTAATCTAGAATATTGATATTTGATCATTTTTGATATTTATCAAAATGTTTCAGTTATCGTGATATTGAAGGAACTTCTGTATCTAGCCGATATCAATATCAAAATTTTGGTGTAGCACAACCCTATACAGAACAATATGGATTATTGTGAATCCAACTTTATCAGCCGTTAATATTTTTATGGATCCAGCTTTTGAGTGATAAATGGTCCAAGTTGGCATGGAATCAGGATTTGATATGAATCAACTCCATAAAGTTTTATAGATGATCTATTCCATAATTGTTGGATCCTGTTCCTGACCATCCAGGTGTCCATTGGGAAGATGATCAAGTCCATGATGCATTTGTTATCTTAGTTCGAATTGCAATACCTTATTCAAGGCCATATTTATACACCTTGAGGAGCATGGAGGCTGATTTTGCCAACCTATTGTTGATACTGATAGATAAAAAATTGATGATTGAAGGCTGGCTCTCCTTTCCATTCTCCCCATCCCTCATCCCAAAGAACCCAAAGGGGAATAGATTAACTCAAAAATAAAAAATATTTGAATAGCTATAAGAAGGAGTGTATGGGGTGCTTAGTTTTTTTTTTTTTGTTTAACTCTCCACACTGTGGGCACTAAGAGGGCCTCTTTTTGCAAGCCCATTATGGGTTCGGCCAGGCCCACAATGGGGCTGCCGGGTGGTGAGGGACAGGGCCCGACATATCTGAACAGACCACCCCCCGAAAAATTCCTGGGGATTTTTCGACCCGTTCGGATTCGAATCCGGGTCCCCCAGAGCGGTAGGCTGCCACCTTGACCACTCGGCCATCTGGCCGCTTAGGGGTTCTTATAGTGCTGCAGCACTCCTTGATACCAAAGCAATCAGTTTTGTTACGTTTAAATTAAAAATAAATATAATAAAGCATATTGCATGACTTCAAACTATTCTGTACGCTATATTTCATGCATTTCCTTATGCCATTCATTCCCCCGAGAAATTTCCGGGGGTTTTTGAGCCGTCCGGATTCGATCTCTGATCCCCGGTACGCTTAACTACTCGGCCATCTGGATGTCTATGTCAAACAACTATATCATCTATAAAAGACTCGAACCGATTTTCCCGAATTATTTATTTATATTATTAATATGTTTTTCTTATAAATTCATTTTTATCATTCATTTATTATTATTGTTCATTTATTATCATTTATTATCATTGTTCATTTATTATCATTTATTATATTGTTACAAAATTATCATCGTAGTGATAATTTTGATGATAATTTTGTAATAAGAAAACGATAATTTTGTAAGAAGAAAATTTTTTGTGGAAGGTTGGCAACACTGACGATTAAGTAGAACCCGCCATTTTTGGAAGTAATTTACCGACGAAATGAACATATTTTTGTGTTTATGTTTATTGTTATACTATATTAAATAGTTTTAAAGTAAGTATATTGGCATGCCAGTATATTTGTGAAATTCAAAATAAAGCTAACGAAATATTAGATAAGCAACGCTTCCACGAAGACTATTAATTAATAATCTAAGTTTTTAATAAAATATAAATTTTAGTAGTGTAATGTACACTTTACGTCATTTTGACGTCATTTCCTATCAGAAAAACATCAAAATGACGTTTTATCTTAAGGATCCAATGAAAATTCATTTTTAAAAGGAAAAAATCTAAATAACCACGTGTTACTCTGTGCTACTTTTCTGATTATTTTAAGTTCTGAATTTCATTTTATGATAGACAAAATCTATGATTAGAACTATCTCTTTTGGTAAAAAGTAACCCAAAATTAATTATTGATTCTTTGTTAAAATGATATTTTATATCATTGACTAGACTATTAAAAGTTTATGTATGGTTGGGTTGTCTACATTAGCACGTTGTATAGAAAAGAGCCTTAAAAAGCCTCTTTTCTATAGAACATGCTAATGTAGGTATTAATTTACAACCTTACGTGCTAATGTGCTATCAACTAGAAACATGGGATGCAACTATGAACAAAAACTCAAAATCATAAATGGATAGTAGTTGACTATGACCCCAGATTGAGCATGGCTTATGAGATTGTAACCAAACTATTAAAAGTTGCTTCTTTGTTACATTTGACAGTTCTTTTCAAATGTTAAATTTATGAAATATCTATTTCTTAATATTATCATATTTTTCTGAATTTATGTTTGCTTCTCATGCTGAAATATTCCTAGCATAGGAATCAGGTGTCATTCTGTAACAATGGCATATCCAGAGTTTTAAGAGTATGGTGTTACTCAAGGCATATGTATCCTGCCATTTTTTGGAGAATGTTACTCAATTACCTTAGAATTATTTTAGTTTTACAGTTTAGTTCCAATCTTAGCTAACTGTAATTGTGCAATATGCATTATTTTATTTATTTAAAGTAATAAAACATTTCTTTGGTATCTAGGTGTGCTGAAGCACCAAAAGCATCCCCTGGATACATTGTTGTTCTGTAATGCCATTACTTTATAATTTTAGCCATTTTGAATACATTGACGATCTTATTGCTAGGAAATCCTTTTACGTTTGATTTGTTTTTACACAGACTTTGGGAATTGTAAAGCTTCACATTTTTTTTTAACAAAAGATGAACTATATACAGGAATGAAAAAAAATATTGGTGCACCCTGTATTTTTGAATTTATAGTGAAATATAGATAGAATAAAGTAGCTGTTTTCAAAATAAAAATCATATATACATAATTAAGAATAATATAAAGTATATTACAAAATTTTAAAGTAAAATACCATGATGATATGTTGTTAAAAAATTGATGAAGTTTTCTACACATCAAAACAAAGGACAAAAGTATTGACACAGTTGAAGATAATACTAAAAATATATTAAAATTTATATTTTGTAATAGTCCTGGTTCTTAATAATTGCTCTTAGTCTCTCTGCCATTGAATGCACTAGTTTTTCCATGATTTCAGAGGAAATTTTTTCTCATTATTCAATGAGAAGTCTTTGAAATAATCTAAGTTGAATCTCTCTTGTTTCCTCACTCTATCATCAATTTGTTTCCATAAATGTTTGGTAGGATTCAAATCCTGAGATTGTGGGGTATGTTTCAGAGTGTGAGGTATATGATAAAGTAGTCATTGACAGACAATATGAGCCATGTGTGTTTATGGTCATTATCATAACAGACATAAAAGTCATTGTCCAAATTTAGTTTATTTGCACTTTACTGAAGATTTTTCTTGAGGATATTTAAATACATCATTTTTATCTGTTGTACTGCTTATGAATACAAGTTTTCCCACATCAGTAGCCGACATGCAACTCCAAACCATCACACTACAACCCCTATGTTTTATTGTGGATTGAACATTCTTTTCTTGCAACTCTGTGGTTTTCTTCTCCAAAGTACGAGGGTTGTCCCAAAAGTAATTCACAGCGCACTCTAG